GATCCAACATTATATTTATCGCACCACCGAGTATAGATTTTCTCAGTGTGAACGTGACTTCACAGTTTGGCCTCCATAATATAAATCTCGTGGGGTTTCATTGTTTGATACCGCCACACAAATTTCCTGACTTCCTTTCTTCCTCGCATTAATTGTCATGTAATTTTAGAACCTTTATAATTTTATGTTCCGATTACAATTTAAAAAAATTCTGTGCCATTTCTTTTTTAGATCATTTTGACCCGGTTCTTTAAATGCTGCTCCCAACTTTCCAGCTTTAAATCGTCAAGTATTCTTATTACGTTCCGTAAGCCGTATAATATTTTTAAAAACATTTGGCTTCTCGAATTTACATTGCAGCATACCCAACGAATATTGACGGTTGCGTTTCTTAAAGGCAGAATCTTATAATATATCTTCTATATATTAAAAGTTATTCGCAGTCGGGAAATGAGATCATTCGAAATAATTCTTTCTTTTGCGAAAATGCAATCCGTGGCTTTGTTTATGGATTATTAATGAAAAACACTGACCAATGAGAGGCGAGCTTGACTGGCGCAAGGCGGTCGAAACGGTCGAAGCGGTCGAAGCCCAGTTTTGTTTATTGGCTCGGACATCTCGCACCAGCTGATCTCGTCTCTGATTGGTCGCTGTTTTTCGTTAAGAACTCGTAAACAAAGCCGCGGATTACATCTGCGTAAGGAAAAAGTTACATTAAATGACCTCAAGTATCCCTCATTTCCTCATTGCCAGTGACTTTTGGGACTCCTTGTATAAAATAGGTTGATATTTCGAGCTTGTTTTCTTCAGGTAAAATCTTTTAATTTTCGGATGTATACATCATAAATACTGCAACATCTTGTATAGTAACTTAGATTGAATTTGTGATAAGTAGACTGCGGATTATTATACAGAATAAAAGTTGTCTGCACTAAGTATAAGATACAGGAGTTACATAGATATTCATTCCATTTCTTAATAATTTGAATAAGTTGAAATTAGTATAACAATATTTTTGAATACTTCAAATGCTTCCAACTTTTTCGTATTTGATCAACTTATCTTTGTTATAAACGCATAAAGTACGCAGTCTGCTGATATTTGATGGATTTGTGATATAATTTTATGACGATTTGATAATTTGTGGGACAATTTAAGTAGGTAATACATTAAATGTCACATGTTGGTTGACACTTTTCCTAATTTCTTGTCTTATCTTCTTCTATTATACTGTTATAGATTAACGAAACTAGTAACACTAGCAATGATTATTTCACTTATGACTATTCTAGAAAATTTGGTTATCGATCATGGTTCCCTTATTCATTAGTTTACATCTCCTTTTGTTACCGATGAATATACTTCATCATGAATACCCCAAATCAATTAATGATTAATTGGAATATTATGTGTACATCGCATCATTTTGCAGACTTTACGTATTATATCATGAAATGCATTTCCTTTTTAAGGTTAGCAGCTTACTCTTCTTCATCACTGCCTACAATTATTCAGGCCTTGTCAATTAATAAATCAAATGCATTTATGCACTTTGTAATAATAAGAGAATTTTCTCATGCGATGTATATTCTTATGTGATGTATATAATAAATAAATTCATTATAATAAATAAAATCCAAGTACATTCTAAGTAAAGTGATCGTTAATTATTTATTGAAAGAAAAATCTTTCACAATATACCTATAATCGTAACAATTATTCATAACAAAAGAAATCGTAGCATACATTATCCGGAAAAAGAGAAATCAATAAAGAATAAGATAATATAGACTATTGAGAAAAACAAAGCTGACCGAAAAGAAGAACTTTCTGATAGGTATAATAAATGGGTGTCATAATCGGTTCTATTCACTGTCAATCGAACTTAACAATGGCGTTTGACTAAAGAATTGATTGAAAGCGTTTAACGATGTCGTTATCGACACTGAAAGCGAGCGTCGGGTGTTACGCCGAGCTTAAATCGAGGGAAGTTAAAAAATCGTTCTTAACAAAAGGTCATATGACGTTACGAACACAGCTTGTGAAATGGCAACTAAACTCAACTATTCGTGACGAAGTCATAATATATATAATTATAATTTAATCGAATAAAACCAAAGTAAAACAATTTTGAGTCGAATGGAAGTAATACATACAAAGAAAGTAGATAGCAAAATTAAATAGTCAAATTCAATGTAAAAATTGTGTGCAATATCTTTCTTTCATCTTGTGATTCCATTGGGCATGTGTCCTCCTCATAAAATAGTTACTAAAATCTTCTGCGAAAGTATACATCAATATCTGAGTCGTTACTTTTGAAAGTGGTATCAGCCCATTTTTTTTATATATCAAATATATTTGTATTGGCAAAAGTTAAACAATTCAGGTGACATTATTAACATTATACACCTGTTAGATTTTATTATGCAACAATAACCATTAAAATTGTTAAAGAGAAATGACTTTTTAGCTTGAAGTGGGCTTATACCACTTTCAATAATAATATAATATAAAAATAAAAACAATAGAAAAATTATGTCCATATATATATATAGACATTGACCTTACTAAAATAGGTTTCTTAATGTAAAAATTTGAATGTAACGAATAATCAAGTTAACTAAGAATTAATTTCAGTTATATTAAAAAGGAAAATATAAATGAACAAGTATAAAAAGTAAAAGTATAAGTATAACTATAAGTTTTAAATTTATTTCTCCTTTACACTTAGCATAGTGAAGTATTCGTGGTAAATGGGTGATATGTAAGACAGTAAACTCATCATATGGCCATATTTCTCTCTTGTTATATAGGTCTCGAAGCTTCATACAGTGACAACAATAATTTTGCTGAGGTGTTTAGGTCTTTCTTTTTTCCGAAATAAAAAAATAACTTCAAATGGCGTATTTTCTTCCATACTAGTTTTGTAAAAAATTTTGTGCGATTCATCCCTTTTTAACCTCATCCAGCATATTTTCAGTCAATTTGTAATTTCTCTGTTCGTATTTTTTCTCTCTTGTTTGATATTGCCTCTTCTAGAGATTTGGTTGAGACAAAATCTTCTCGTTTCATTTCATACAGAATGAAGCTATATTTTTTCGACAATTCTTTATTACATTATAACAGTCTTCAGCAGTATATAAATGGACTTATATTTCACTTTCAAAAAAAAGGTTTTCGCGATAACATTTTATAGCTAAAACTTTTTTGATTACTTTATCAAGAAATCGCGCTCCATTGAATGTATGATTATTAATTATTAACTCATTAATTGAATTAATTAATGAGTTAATAATTAATTTGACGAATTAACTCATTTTTTCCAAAAGTGTACTTATACCGCTTCAAAAAAAAACGGCTCATTTGTTAGAGATATGAAGAAACTTGCCAATCTGTTATCAACAGACTGCGGATTTTATGCATTCATAGGAAAAAGGGAGCAGTGACATATAAAATAAAAAAAAGATTACATGAAAACCTTGATATATTAATCTCAACTTATTAAAATTATTTAAGTAAGAAAGAATATTGTAATTGACTCGTTTGTCTTGCGATCGATGGAGACAATTTTTATTTTCGATGACTGTATTTCGCACCAACCAAGTTATTTATCGATTTTTTATTGTATTCGTTTTGATTTTGTTCATTTGTGTGTGACTAAAATATTGTAATAAAGTTTGCATTATTATGACGATTACGCCAATAAAAACCCAATAACATTTTATAGAAAATTTGTCTGTGGCAAACATACTAAAATTAAATTAATCATAGCTGCAGTGGTCAACGCTATTTTCAAGCAATAAATAAGAAATGAAGAATGTAAATAATAACGTTAACGATTTATAAATAAGGAATAAATGGTAAGCTAACAATTCATAAATAGTTAGTTACGAAAAAGCTACTTTTTGAATTCCGTGATATATGAATGATCCACTTTGGATAATTAGCGTCCACGTTTTGCTGCCTTATTAACGTAATCTGTATTATTAAAGGGCTCTTCCGTGGATAAATTGGATTAAATCGGAAGCTTTTGTAGAAGAACGCTCACCTCGCAGTAGGATATAATTTCTCGTTCTACTATCCTACTTTGATCTACTGCCACGCTACTATTTATGACCCTTGCATACACGAATATACCCGACACGGACACAAAAAAATTGCTGTGGAACAGTTATTCGAATACCCCAATGTCCGAACATTCTACTTTACGGATGTTGCTATCAAAAGAAGAATATTTCCTAGCATTTATATGGTGTTGGTTTCAATTATTTTTATTTTCGTATCAATAAAATTAGATGCACACGATGTATTAATTAAGGATAGACGAAAATGGACAAAAATGATGTTTTTTTGTTTTGACAAAAAGAAAAAGAGACAGAGGCATCCCAGTAAGTGAACTTTAATTTTTGTTTCTTTATACAATGTATGCATCTTTTTTGAAATCAATGAAGTCTTTCACTATTAACAATATAAGTTTCTGTTTGAAGGAATAAAGTTACTTTCAATTGAAAATTTAAGTTTCAAAAAAGGTGTTTATTTTATTTTCCTAAATTAATTATTTCCCTAATTTTGTCCCCCTATTATTTTGGATACTTAAGATCCTACTGTATATATTTCTTTTCAGTTGGGTCCGTGTAACCTGAAAACCATTAGTGCACGTTTTTATGAACACCGCGGGAGAGTTAAGAAAGTTTCCAAACATTGCATCGACAGCGGAAATAGGGAGACCACTCGAACAGACGGTTTTAGGCGTAAGGGAAAGAGGTCTTTTTAGGCCACCTTAAAATAACCTCATCAGAGTCCGTGCAATCTCGATGCGATATGCATGGCAAATGACTTTTGGTGGAAAAGCAAATATTCCGTGGATGAAACGTTTTCACTGTCTTACGTTGGCTCGGTGTTAAACGTTCGCGGCGTGCCACGCAAATAAACACGGTCGAATTTATAGAACTGGAAACCGCGTGCGCGCATCAGCTTATTCTTCTTCGAGAATCCTGCGGTCTTCGTGCAATCTCGCGAACACTCATCGCTAGTGTTTTTACTAGCGGGTCGTCTATGAATGGGCCTGAGTGCATACCGTTTCCATCGGACCGTTGTCCAACTGTAACGCGAACTGCGGTGTGAGAAAGTCGTTGAACGTGTTTCCAGTTTTGTGACTGTGCCTCTAACTTCAGTGCAGTGTACGTGACAAGAGGTGCCGTTTTTTTTCTTTCTGAAACTGCAACTTTCTAAATGTAAGTTTGCTTCAAACTGTTTAACCCGCGACGCTTCGGCCGATTCAAGTCAGGCGATTTATTTACAGTAGAACTCGATTTATCTGTGGTCTATTTTGTATGAAAGAGCTTGCAATTAGTTCCACATACATCTGCCTTCTTTAGAGCTGATCCAAGTGACTTGAATCTGTTTGAGATCTCAGACGGACTGGTGCATCTCACAAAGGACAAGGTGTAAAAATATTTTTGCGAAACTGCAGTCGATTAGAATGACAGAAGAACGAAATAATTTCCTTTTCGAATTTTTTTTTTATCTGAGCCTGTCATGAAAATTTAAACATTGCGTTTTGTGGACCTCTATTGGAAGATGCAGAAGTCTCCAGATTTCTTACGATTATTGGTCGAATGTTATGAAAAGTAGATTGAAAAAGTATAAGACGAAAGTTAATTGTGGATCTTCGTGCGAAATAAAAATTACGTGGACCAGTTCAAAAGGAGTCTACTACTTCATTCAAAAATTTTAATAAATTAAGAATTATTTATTATTTATTAATAAATTAAGAATTCAGAATAATGTGTAGATATCCTTGAACTCTTATAATATTTTCATTGTTTTAAAATGTACCGAAACATCTTCGCCATAAGTACATAAAATTTCCAGTCCACATATATATATATAAATTACAGAGGCCAACAAACACATTGTTTAACTTTTCGATCCATGCTCAGACAAAAAAGTTGAAAAAACATATTTTTTCTACTACAAATATATCTTTTATTTCCGCTAACCGAACAAATTTGAATATTTGCAAAAATTTTTGGCCATTGTCCAGTAATGTAGATCCTCTAATACCTCCAAAAAATTCAAGTCATGTGGTCGAATTTGAAGAAAGTTATTATATTTTAGAAAATGCCCAAATATTTTCATGACCAAGTATGTATATTTTTAATTTTATGCATTCATGGCAAAAGTAAGTAGTTAGAGTACAAAACTGTTTGATGGTTCGGTTGTATAATATATCTGCGATATTTGGTTATAATAATTATAGTAGATGCAATAGATAAATTTGACAATGCTATTAGCATGATTTAAAACACTTACAAACATTAAAAATGAAAGTAAAATCTAATTTCTATTTTTGCAAGTAAGATGGAGAGTTCTTTTTTTTTATAACGGCCAGCAGTCTACTTCTGTGAACTGTAACTAAAAAGCGCTGATAAAATTGTTAATACTGAACCTACCACGGTCAAAGTGACCGTGACTTGCAAAATTGCAAGACTCTTTCGTGGAAAACGCTTGAATAAGTTATATTATTGGAGCAAATTTTATAATAAAAACTTTACAAATTCTAAATAAATTCGGTCTTCTCACTTTTGTGAAGCAGTACATGCCAGTTAGTATTACTGCCTGGTAGGTTTAGTGTTAATAAAATTTTGGCTTTGAATAAGTGATCGTTACGACGTGTTATCCATTACGGATATGATAATATAATAATGTGTTATATATGGACTACGGATCTTTATGCAAAGTAAAAATTTCCTGGTTCGATTAAAAAAAGAAACAAACGCTATATAAAAATGTATTTTTTTTTATAATTTCAATAATGTAAAGATATTCTTCAATTTTACTAACATTTTCATCGTATGGTATTTCAAATAGTCAATTTTATCCTTAGACAGCTGATTTATATCTAAAATAAAAATTGTTTACATGAATTGCATAAAATAAGAGAAAAATGTATACTTTCTTTCAACATGTATTTTTTTCTTGTTATAAATTTAAGATAATCTAACAGTGCTTCCAAATTCATCTTATGTCTACATTGTTTCGTTTCTCTCTTTCCCATTTTTGCCACAAAATGCTTAAAATCTACTTATCGTAAATACGTATTAGACTTCACTTTCCTGATCCAGAACCATATCTGTTATCACAGCTAATAAGAATTGATAGTGGGAAAAATTGGTGAGATACCGTTATATGGACCATGCAATTGTATTAATTTCTGTGTCTTTCTATTTATTGATATAAACAACGGTCTACTGCATACACAATTATTTATTATTCGTATAAACGTAGAAGAAAAGAAAACATAAATGTAATCATAGAAATCTTAAATAGGTAGCTTTGTGAATATATATATATTATTTTTTTTTGTCAAAGTCCCAGAATTTCTCCTAGTATCCAGGAAAAAGAAGACATAGTAAAAAAGATATTGAATGAATCTGTAAAATCCCCTTTTATAACTATGATTTGAACAGGATTCAATAAAATTAATCCATTGAAAAAAGTGGAGAACGAAAGATTACGCTTGCTCAACATTGGATCTGAATGGGTTAATATTTGAGTAAAAGATTTTTGCTGCTATTCCATATGGCTAACGCGAATTTACTATTTAATCGAATGCTCAACTTTATAGTTGAGTCATTGAAAGCAGAAAGTAAAATTTGTACAACCCCTTTACGTACTCGCGATGAAGATCTTATGTACAGGGTGTCCCATTTAAGATGAGGTTGTAAACAATCTCGTAGACACACAAGATTTAAAAAAAACTGACACATATAACGTTGTCATTTTAATCAAGAAAACAAAATTATCTTTGACATAAACATGGAAAATCTGCTTAATAAAAATTAAAAATCTTAAAAAAATATTGAAGATACAAAAAAATGTTACAAACGAAAGTTGTGCAGCATTTTAAGTAGAATACGATTCCGAAATATAAAATATAGGTTTATGATGGAAAAAGACAAGATGACCTTGAAATAACCTTGAAAACGTCCACACATGAAAAAACTAGTAGTACGATTTGATTCCGCAGTCGAAATACTGAAGGACATGTTTCAGTTTGTTATTTTTTTTAATTACGTGTCTACGAGATTTTTTACAATTTCAGCTTAAAAGGGCATATATTTATATATAATAGATATTATTATTATATTTATATGTAATAGATTATACAGAGCGACCATTTAAGCTGAAATTGTAAAATATCTCGTACACGTTTCTTTCAATTGTAAGTCGAAACAAAATTTGTTTCGTTCTGTTATCAAAATGTTGGAATGAGAGTAAATGAAGACATACAAGAAACAATAATTGTATCGTTCTGTTAGAGAAATTATTCAGGACACATTACTGTTTTATTTTTATTATAAGAAATTTTCTACTTGGT